TTATTCTTTTGAATTCTCAATTTTCTTCTTTCAACTGTAGAATCAAATAAGGTATTTCGAACTTCAAAGTAAGCATAAAAATTATATCTTTAAATTTCAGAGCCAAAGAGATGTTGATAGAACTTTCAATAGGGTTAGATCTGAAATGAGCTGATAATATCCTCATCTTTCCTATTCAATTCCCTTGAGGATTTTTCATTTAGTCTCCACTTTGCTCGGCTTGTTTGTTTCTTGAAAGATAATGTATTCCCTCTGATTGATCATTGATGGATTTGAGACTGATCAGATAAATGATGCAGAGAATAGACATCGTTTTCCAACTGGCATTAACTCATTTTCTGAAATGGATATTTTTGCATCATAATTTGAATAATATGTATTTGGATCGGACAGTGACTCTAATTGGATCGTAGTCTAAGAAATTGTGTTGTTAGAAGCAATTTTTGCCCATGTTGGATTCAGGACAGTTGGACATAAATTTAACTTGTCTTACAAACTTTCTTGATGTGACTTTTGTGACACATTTATGATAAATTGGATAGATTCAGATTGTGTCTGCTGTGAATGAATGACAGATTATTATTCAACTACAAAAAATTTTCATTATGTTCTTGGTAGACATTGTTGAGTTATCTCATATGTCAAAGGTTAAACTGTGCAGTAATAGGTTCATTAGTAAATCAAAATATTTTGAATGAGTTATTTCATGCTTTTAGAAACAAAAGGGTCATGGGTAGGAAGAAATTGTGTTCTGAGGTGAAAATTGAATTTATTTTGGGAAGCACAAATATGAAGAACTTCTAAAACATACAAGAATGAAAATTCTAGTATGTAAAGCTTAAAAAGAAGGGTGGAACTCATTGGTGACTCAGAGTTAAGGTGCTGGGCCTTTCAGAAACCAAAAAGGTTGGAAGCGTAATTTTTTCCTGCAGCTATTCTGTAAAAGTAGAACATGTTTAATAACTTTGAATTGCAAAATAATTTTCAAATGAGAAATGCAGGAAAGTGGTTTCCAAAACAATCCAGATCTCCAGGCAGTCTCTGGAGAATGAAACCCTAGAGAGCAGCCAGTCAGTGACCTACTGGAACAAATCTGCAAGCTGCTGCTATAAAAATGAAAATCGACAAAAGGTTTTCAGCGTCTTAGAAAAGTATTCACAACCCTTGAACTTTTCAGTTTGTTGCGTTACATTTCATTGACATTACATTCACTGAAGATGCATTCATCTTCAGTAGGCCAACACCAAAGTGCACAGAAAGATAAACATTAAGAAAAATAATCAATACTTTATAGAATCAAGATTTAGCTTCAATGCAAGCAGCAGACCTTTGCGGTGTCTCGATCTCATTTGCAGATCAAGAGAATAAATTGTAAATGAAAAAGTGAGAAATATTTTTTAAGTACTGATAATCTTGTAAATGTCAGAATATATATATCAATATATATTTGTTTAGTAAAGAGGACAATATCCTCTTTACATGACAGCATCCCTCAAAAAATTCCCAAAATATAATAAATAAAGAAAACCACTCTGACGTGTCAGATCCAGGAATTTATTGATTTACTTGCCTCTGTACTTCTGAAAATGGAAAAAATGACAGGAATACGTGATGTTTTACTTAAAGTGAAACAGTAGCCCCAATAAAACAGCAAAGGATAAAGAAAAGACAAAATTGAAAATGTGAAATTTCACATAGATATCTGCATAGCAGACATGCAGCCACATATGGGTGCTGCATTTCTCCAGTGACATTTCTTCTTATTTTAATTTTTCCCTTTGGGATTTGTAGAACCGTCATTGCTTTCATAGTGATGGATCCACTAGCAGTAGCTGAATGTATGCCTGCAGGCTGCAGAACCTTCTCTGTTGTCAAAAAAAGGAGAACTAGTAAAAAAAAAAAAAAAAAAAAAAAACTTACCTTTGACCAATGAAGGCCAGTATGTAGACGAAAAAAAAAAAAAAGTTCACTGAAGTTTCCTCCTTCAGAGAGTAATGAGGTGAGGAAGCTTTTGAAGGGAATGAAGGAAAGCTCACTGGAAGACAGACAGGTTGGTTTTTCCAGATACCATGCAAGGCCAGAATCAATTATTTATAGCACTTCCTGAAACACCTCTACATTATTGACATAATTTCATAAATAAGTAAATAAATAAAAATAAATACAATTCTGATTCACAGCGTCTACCTTGATAAATCTTAATCTTATATCTGATTAATTCTTCCAACAGGTAGATAAAGTCCCTGTTGTCAACAGAGGGTGCGCTATAGAGTAGCATTTAGACTGAGTAATGCATAAGCTATTGCAGTCATGTAGCATTAAGTCATGTGACATGAAGCCCTTTAATCTTACACAACTGTTACAAGAGGGAATGTGTTTGACAATCATAGTCTTATATTTTAAAGCAGCATTTACAGCTAATTCAATAAAATGATTTGTAGTGAGAAGGTGGCGGGAATTTTAGAGGGGGACAATGATGCTTCCTTGAACAGGTTAGGATAATTCTGTGGGCTATATAAAAAATGTTTATAAATTTTTTTTTGCAAAAATCATTCTTGGATAACTTTGCCTGCTCAGTTCCAGCTACTTTGAACTCCTTTCAGAATGAGCTGGGGTTGCTGGGTAATGGCAGTATCCGCAGATATTAACTTAATAATCTTAAGTTTTTGAAACGGCTTGTTTTTCAGATTCCCAAAAAGCATTGCTAGACAAACAGTATATCCAAAATATATTTTCGGACTTTTTAAGACTCCTGATCAAATTTTGACAAAAAAATACTGTTAACTTGCCCCTCCTATTACTGTTAAACAACAAATAGCAAAAATAAAACAAAATTTTACAAGAAATTCCAATTGTGTGAATAGAAAAATATGAATTGATAAAAAAGAGACATAAAAATTTGTGCACAGCACGGTTATACAAATTTACCCTGAATGCTACAAATATTTATGAAACATATAGTTTAGCTTAGTCTAGTCCAGTTTTTTTTATGTGCTTGGAGCACATCCATAACAGAGGCAGACTTAAAAAAAACATGCTTGTATTTACAGGTGGTTCAAATCAAAATAAATATACAATGCATGGGTTAACTTGAGACTTTTTGAAACCTAAAATGGAGATTGAAGAATTTTTTTACGACTTTTTAGAACAGAACAAGCCTGAATAATAATAATCACTTCAAAATCTAAACACAGTGGAGCCAAACACTTATAAAGACAGTGATGTCAACACAGCATTATCTATTCCCAGGAGCATTGGACCAGAAGTTTACATGAGAGTCTCCATGTGCTCCAGCTTATTCCCACCATCCAGATCAAGAAACCTAATTCCAAATTCCTATAGGGGTTAGTGAAATGGTATAGAAATGTGTTTCTTTGTGGGCCAGTGAAGGACTGGCAATCTGCTAAAAGTGTGATGAAGATAAAGAAAACATTATATATATATATATATATATATATATATATATATATATATATATATATATATATATATATATATATATATATATATATATATATATAATACAGACCTTTGGGCATTTAAATAACTTAGAAACATCATAATATGTAGGAGAAAACATAAAAGAGAGAGAGATAGAGAGAGAGAAAATACTATTTAGTTATTAATTGACTAAGCAATCAATAGATATTCCATTTTTAAAATAAAAATGTATTTGTTTGTCTTTTAATACCCCTTGTACATTGTCTTATTGCTTTTTCATACTTGCCAATCTAATTTACTAATAAAAGCAAACATTGTGATTTATAGACTAAACTTCAAATGTTAATCTGCCAGCAGTATGACTAATTTTGTTGTAAGAAAGTTGGGAAAATGCAACCCAAAATAAGAACTAATAGACACTATTAACAAACAAAAAAAAATCATACTGTCCAACAGAAAAAAGATAAGTGAGACAACCATTCACCACATGTTGGCGAATAAGAGATAAGCGTTTATTTATTTATTATTATTCCCTCACTTTTATTTACAGTGCAGTCTTATCTGGCTGAGCGGTCACTTCTAACTTCATTTTCCGTGTTTGATTCAGTTCTTCTTCACCTGTGTAAATCAGGGAGAGATAACAGTGTGTGTCACTTTAAGAGTGAGTCTTCGGGTGGCTTCTTGATATTAATAGAGCCGCTGTGTCTTCCTCCTCTGACGTAATGCCTACAGAGAGACAAGCGGAGAGGTCCTGTCACAGCAAAGCGATAACACTAGTCTGAAAGAAAAGAAAAAGAAAGAAAAAAAAAGGAAAGATGACGAGCTGACCTGTTTTGGTTTGCTGTGACCACCAACTCCATGAATAACAAACTAACTATAGCGTCGGGAATATATCAACACCCGAGCCAAACTCACCCACTAATCAGTCGGTATTAGCCTAGTTTATGTGCTGCCGCGAAGCCTTTAACTATCTCGCTCCCCCCCCACCTCTCTGACCAAAAAGAAAAAAAAGAGACAGCCAAGACATAGTCACTCCGTCCGACATCATCAACAAACAAAAAAAAAAGCCCACAAAGAGACGAACCAGCCAGACAAGCCATCCAGCCAGCCACCATCTTTACAGGCTGCTGAAAGAGAGACAATCTGAGAGAGAAAAGAACCTAATGCTTATTTTGATCAACAGGTAAGCATCCATACATACAACTATCTCTGCAAGACCTTCTCCTTTTTTCCCTTTCTTTTCATTAATTAAATTACAATTATTTAAATATATAAAACCAAGCGATGCAGGTTTGGAGTCGTAGACGGCGAGAGATGTGCCTCTCAGACGAGTCAGCCGATGAGATGTGTTCGTCCGAAAAGGAAGCGATTTTGAAGGGGGGAGACAAATGTGGCCGTTTGTAGTTTTACGACGGGCAGCGGTCGGTTTGCGTCTTATGTAACTAACGGCCTGAGAAGCAGCAGCAGCGTCGGTGTGAGAGAGAGAGAGAGAGAGAGAGAGAGGGGGCGGAGGGGAGGAGGAGGTGGTGGTGGAGAGGAGGGGGGGGGGTCTGCTGCTGAATGAAGAAGAGAGGAGGGAGCACCGCTTTGAATTCACATGGCAATTTACATTTAGCTTAGGACACCCAAACGCCACACTAATGCGAATTGTGGGGGGGGCTGTTTCTGCTGTAACTGCTGCTGCTACCGGGGACAAGCTACTGCTTTGATTTAAGTTTGAAGCCAACAAGAAGCAGAAAGCAAGCAAAGGGGGGGAAACGTGGAGTCGCCTCAAGTAGGTTTGTGCTTTTCCTTTTTTTTTCTTTTTTTTTTTATTTGAAGTTCTGGGTTGTAAGTTTGCGATAAGTGGCGTCCTGATTGATTCTGATTGCAGTTCAGCTTAACTCCGGAGTGATTTCTGTGCCTGCAAAAGGAGCTCCCCGTGTAACTACGAGTCTGCTGTGTTTGTTGTTTCATTGATAAGTTTTCACGCTGCAAACTTGATACTCAAGTTCAGATTTCTGACGCACGTCGCGCGGAATTAAACGGAAAGCGTTACGAGCGACACACAAAACAAACAGAAAGCGTCACTCTGCGGTTCCCGGATGCTTATTGGGGGGCTAAAAAAGCGACAAAAAAAAAAGTGGGGATTTACACATCAAAGAAAGCGTTGTTTATTCGATATGGCGCTGTTTTCATTGTTGAAGAGCGGCGTGGTGGATGTTGAGTTGTCGACACATCCTCCCTTATCAACCTTAAAGCAAACAAGTGCACGCGACCTAAACTCAACTCTTATTTACTTGTTTTGTGTTTTTTTTTGTTTTGTTTTTGTTTTTTTGAACGCCTCATGTTCTGAGTTGCATTTCACCCAACTTTTAGAAAGTTTCACCCCCTCCCTCGCCTCTCTTCCACCTCCCCTCTCTTCTCTCGTCGTAACAAACTGTGATGTTCCTTTGAGATAAGGGTGCTGGGTAGGCATGACAACTCTGTGGGGACAGCAGGGTATGTGAAGGCAGCACAATGAGGCAAGGAAGCTTTTTAAACACAGTCCTCCACCAGAGTTTTCCAAATCAGAGCCCCCCCCCCCCCACCTAAAACTCCACAAAACAACGTGCCTTGCTTTTATTAAGCAGATAACCAGCAGTAATGTATTTAAAAAAGCAATGCAGGCCTGTTAAGCTTCTGTTTAAGCTACCTCACACAATTACCCCCACTCGTCTAAAAGTTAAAATCAGTAAAATACCTCAAATTATTGAGAGTGAGGGTGGCAGCTGAAAATGAGATCAAATATTTTTATCCAAATTGCAACTTTGCTCGAGGCGATTTAGTTTTTATTTCAGGCAATTCAGTACTATTTAACCGTCCATTAATCTGTACTCTGCGTATTTAGAAATGACTTAAGATGCATGTATAGTTTTAAGGTGAGGCTTTAACTACTTGCTAACTTGTTCATTAAAATTAGCATTTTTGAAGCTTGTGAGTGATGATGTTTCTTCTGAGAAAGTTTGGTAATTTTTTTTTTTTTGCGATATATATATATATTCAAATCTGCGTCAAAGGTGTAATTTTTTATATGTCCAGTTAAACTGAATAGTGTGCAAGCTTCTATGTGTATCCATCAGGAGCTCTAAATTGCACAATGCTTTTTTAATGCTTAGGCTAAAAATTAAACTTGTAATGCACTCCAAAAATACAGTAAAATGTGTACTTTTGCATCTCAAAATGTTAGGCTCTGACTGTCAAATTTTCCCTAATGTTTTTGTTTTTTCTCTGACTCAGAGAGCGACCTCAGATATCTCCAAAACAAAACCCAAGGGTAACCAAGATAGAGCCTGGAGGAGGCACTGCTGATGATGAAAAATTTCTAATATCATAAAAAGATTTATCGGACAACCATCCGGTTTAGGAACTGCCCGCGCTAACTCTAATTAGGTGACTTAGAAGGAGAAAGCTTTTATGTTTTTTTTTTTTTTGTATCTTTTTTTTATTATTTTTGGCTTTTGCAGTTCATATAAAACGTTTACAATGTGCAAGTGCAGTATATTTACAGGTTCTTCAGTGAGAGAGGAGGGAAGTCAATCACATTTTGTATAGAAACTTTGTAAAACTAAGTATGGAGATTATTAAAGAGTAAGGACTTTTTGCATTTTAAAATACTGAATTGTACATAATCCCACAGTAAGATTTGTGTATAACTACATCTTCAGTATAACTCCCTTTAATTCAGCTGAGTCGTTACTCAGCTTTGCTATCCACATAGCCTCCACTTCTCTGTGACACGCTTAGAATCTCTATTTGTTCAATTCACATTGATTCAGTTTAGCATTCCCCGTGAAAGTAAGTTGGATAACAGTTTAAGAGTCGGTCTCAGGTTGACTTTTTGATGTCATTAGAAGTGCTGCATGGAAACTGTATTTCTTTTTCATCTCAGTCCTTCACAAGATCTCTTCAAATCAGAGCCTCCCCTAAAAACAACTTGCTTTGCTTCTTTTCAGCAGATAACCTTTAATTTTGTATTTTAAAACAAATCTCAGGCCTGTTTAGTCTTTCTCTAATCCTCCCCAATGAGTAAAAAAAAACATTTTTCTCACTCATTTAATACAGAAAATTTATCCAACAAAGATATGCTCTTAGTTTCAAAGTTAATTTAGATTAAACTCTAAAAATTATTTGAAAATGTGCAAAGTTAGGTTTAAACGGTTTAAGTTTAAGATGACGTGCTCCCTAAGCAGAAAAGTAGAGTCAAAAAAAGCTGGGAAGATTCCTGCGGCGTCCGTCAATCCAGAGTTTAACTCCCTGAGACATGAAAGCTGACGGCTGCAACTTGAAGCGTTAGCTTTCCTGCCTAAATGTGAAGACTCAGATTTTTAGTTTATCACGTTTAAGTTTTGTATTTCTTTTATACTTCATGACCAAAATAATTTACAGCATGTTCTTGCAGCTAAGTCAAATTACAGATCCTCTTATTTACCCTCATGTAAAGTTTGTAATGAAAATTCAGCTCCATATATAGATTTTTTTTCTTTGACTATTTTCACATCTGCTTTCCAGTGGTCTGCACATGTAATAATGACAAATTTCTTAACAGTTCCTCAAATCTCCATGTCTCTTTTTCTTTTCTTGGAATTTTTTATTTTATTTTCTAAATAAAAGCCGACATGGATGAGTGGCGTTATTCTTAGGGCTTGAATTAAATGAGAATCATGTACTTTTAATCAACTTCCAAATCTCATAAAACTTGTAATTAACGTCGCCCGTCACCGACTTCAACATTTCAGCTTTAACTAGATTAAATAAATTCTAATCACTTTTATAATAAAGCCTGTCAAACTTTTACAACTTGAACAAATCTCTTTTAAAAAATTACTAAAGTTACCCAAAATACTTACATTTACTGTGGTAAATTAAAAAAAAAAACTTCCTTTCGGGACACTGGATACCATTGTTTCTTACGGGCTTGTTCATAGCTGCTATTAAATGTCAAAACAGTTGACAACTTCCTAAAGCGAGCCTATTGCTTGTAAAACTCATTTGTGGATGTATGTGCGAGAGTGGGAGACAGCAAAGCACTTATTCCCTTTTCTGTGTGTGTCTGTATGGGCAGCGGAGACAAGCCATGGCTCACTCATATGGCTGCAATATGTGAAGCCGCTCTTGTGGTGAAACTCGGAGGAGAGAGAAAGTTTTGAGAGAGAGAGAGAGAGATCTGCGAAGGGAATGCACGGAGTGAGGGAAAGTCAGGAATGTCCCGCTCGACTATAGCTGGAATGTATCTCCCGTGTTTTATTGATGGTTTGATGTTCTGGAAGACATGAGGAACAACTGTAGTGATTTTGCGGGCTGCCATGTTATTTGTATCTGGTTGTTTCGGAGCAGCCCTCACATTGCTTCAAAGGAGGGAGGAAAGGTCGGTCTGAGACGGAGCGTATAAAGTCGAGGCCAGTCTGAGTAGCTTTTGGGGGGAAAGTAGCAGCGATTCCACCCTTATAGACCTCATTTTTGCCTGGTTGCCTTTAAGGATCAAAGAACGGGCACACAATGACTTGGATCGGGTCCTGTTAGACAGAACTCAAAGATGGACAAAAACTCAAACAAGTTTACAGGATTAGGCATGGGGTGGAATGAGATTAAAACTCACGGTTAACAGCAACACAACATTAACACAAAAATTAAAATCTCTTCCATGGTCTAAGGGTCTTTTTTTTAAATAGAAAGTGACTATTGTCCCAACTGCAGTAGGTCATTTATTCTTTTGGTAGTCACAGTAGCTAGTAGCTTATTTCAAACATTTGCTTTCTAAAGCAACATTGACAAAAAAAGAAAACTTTGTTTGGTGCTTTGCCTGAACCCAAACTGTCTTTATTTTTTGCAACTGGAAATGAGTCAAAACTGCAACATTTCTTAAAATATTGATATCAGTTTAGGAGACATTGCTTTACTCAGCCAGCTAGCTGTCTCTTTGGAGCAACAGTTTGGGCAAGGGTTGTACAATCGCTGCATTCGATCTGCCTTGGAAGTCATAGCTCAGATCTGGGAATGGTGTCGCTGCCGAATTTGAAAGCCAGTACAATTTGGTAATCGCTATGGTGCTAATTAGTAGCAAAAGAAGCTGATGATATATTTTTGTGGTCGAACACTAAAGCAACATGTTCACTAAAAGAAATATAACCCTGTATGAGTCAATGGCTGAGTAATATGCAAACCATCAGAAGGGCTAATAATAGTCTATTCCTGCAAGTTATAATACATTTTATATTCTAGCATACTAATTTTGAACCAGGTCTTTGAATGCTGGACTTTCCGGTCAGAATCCTGACTTCAGGGGCCAATCTTGTTAAGTTTCAACTTTTGAGTACAAAGAGAGCACACTATATTTTACACCACATGCAACTAGGCATCAACTGGTATCGTATTCCCATGGTTCTTTACCCATTCTGGTATTTACATAATTTTAGTTATTTAAATCAGAAAAATAAGCAATCATTCTTACTTCTGTTAAAATAATATAACAAATATAACAGCTTGAATACCTGCTTCTAGTTGGTTAGTTAGTCAGACTATCTGCTCCATATCCTACTTGCAGTTGACTGCTAAACAGACGTACTGCTTCAGGCTGTCAGACAGTATGATTTCAAAACAACAGAAGTCATTGGTTACACTCCTTTAGTTTTCACACCATGGCTGTTTGTGTTCTTTATGATTTGGAATATTTACAAACAGATGGGTTCTTGGAAGAAAGGACAGGTGTAGGAACCTTCTCCTACCCAGCTGACGGGCAGTGCACAGCAAAAAGTA